CTCATAATCGTTTGTTAAACGAGTTCAGTAACTTTATTTACCAAGAATTTAGAAGAAACCAATGACTTAAATCCCATTGTATAAATAAAACGATCTTCCGATCCGAACCCCGAAATCCACACAACATATTGGCAAAACTTTAGTAGCAGCTACTAAACTTTTCGCATGAGGAAGTATATCAATCATAAGTAAGTATTTCATAATGGAAAGTGGTAACAGGTGTCTAATTATCCAATCGTGACGATTCCTTAATTACGCTCATAAGGTATAAAAATTAAATTCCAGCGTGCTGTATGGGAAATAACTCCAGTTTTTAGTCAAACACTGGATCGGACACCCAACAGACTACAATTATCAATTTTGAATTCTTCTTCTAACATCTTATTAGACTGTCCCGTTTTGTAAGGTTACAATTGTAGATGCTACCTGACTTGACTCCTCTCGCTGTATAACTTAATAACAAGGCCCGTAGGTACCGGGGGAGGGGGCAAGGGGGAATGAACAATACATCGTGTCCAAACCACCATTCGCTAAAATTATTTTCCTAGAAACGCCATTGCAAGTTATATCAAGGGCTCCGCTCTTTTTGGACAAAATCTCAGTCACCGCTAAACCCACATTCTACTACATATGATGAATGGAATTGCAATGATAGTTTTTGAGCACAAGTAGCAAGTCTCGGATATTTCTCCACTACTTCAGGAAGAAGCCACATTTGTTGACGTCTCTTCTTAATTCCATTTTCAAAATAGGTCAAAAGGTTAACTTGACGAACATCAAGAGGGCTGTGTTATACTCCAACTGAAATGAAATGAATGGAGTTTTTTATGCTCTACTTTTCTGCACCAGTTGGGCTTATAAATACGATCAACGCCATGCAGGGTGTAATTAGGGAGATTTTGCCAGGACAGCGGCATTAGCCTGCACCAATACGATTTCCAACTGCAAACTGTTAACATGCACAGTCTGTAGCACACGGAGACCCCAATTGAAGTAGCATATAAGTGATAAAAGAAAACCAAGACATTCTAACAGAACTACATTTTAACATAGCAAAAAATGTACATAATATAAATAGACTTGCACAACTTTACAATAACCTTATATAAAATATACAGAGAACAAAGAGAAATACTATTAAAAAAGCCAAGGCTTTAAAAAGTTCAAAAAATACAAGTACTAAAATATATTGAGCTAGACTTAAGTCACACTGAACAAAACTTACTTAAAGGGATTGTAAAGAGTTTTTCTAAATTTTTTATGTATATTGGGAACACTGATAGCATCAATTTACACCATTCCAATTTTTAGTCAGATGTCTGTGGTTCCTGAAATCCCACAAAGTATTTGATCGCTAATCACAAAATTTGCTTATCACATAAGGTCATTAAACACTTGTTTGTGGACAATCAAAGATTATCGTGATAAATTTCAATTTTGGACAGCAAAACTAAACGCTTAGTTAAAGTGGAATTGCAGAAACCACAAACGTCAGCTTGAAAATTGGAATGGTGTAAATTGATGCTATCAGTATCCCTGATACACATAAATAATTTATCAAATCTCTTAACATTCACTTAAGTCTTACAAAAAGTACTAATATCCAGTGTTTCTGAGATTTTCAAGGCATTTATCATCAAAAGATTTTTCACATTGCAAAGACTTGTAGCAGCTCTATAGCTTTTAATTTCCCTAGCAAAATATTGATCTTAAAAGGACAGATGCACCATTCTTTTTGATCAATCATACCTTAGTCTCATAAAGGAGAATTTTTTTTAGCTAAGCCAATCATTTATAGTGTTCACAGCTCACCGTTGAAATTTGAGCCTTCAAATCCATGTGTGTCCACCAGAATTATCCGTGTTTGAATGTTAAAATGACGACTCGTCAATTTAAGATACTCTAGATATTTCTATATGTGTCTTTTCTATATATCACAGAGAATCTAAACTTCGTCACTTTAACATTCCAGATAATTCTGGACACACATGTATTTGAAGGCTCAAATTTCGACTGTGAGCTGTGAACACTACAACTGATTAACTTAGACTAAGTTATGATTGATAAATAAAAAATGCTGCATCTGTCTCTTTTAGGAATATAAATTTTAAAAAGGACACAGTAGGCTACAATAGATAAAATATTAAATACATAATAGCAAAATACATGGCTTATAAAATTCTGAAAACTTAAAAAATGAACACTCTACAGACGAAGACCCATAGATAACAAAACAAAACTTAACAGAATTATGATATAGGAATAAAAAATTATACCAATCACGATCTTTTATTTTTCCAATCGCTGGTGCCCATGACAATCGCAGATGCAATATAAATAAGATTGGATTACGATTTCGTGTCTTTTCCTGTGTTCAGATATTTTTAGTCTACATTATGATCTAACAAGTTTTCTACCAAAGGTCTGTCCTAGTGATGTTATTTTTAACCTATCAAAGTATGTCAAGTAAATCCTGTTAATTGATATAATCAGGAATTGTGGGATAGCAAGGATCATTATTATATCAAGAAACAGGTTCTACATGACACGTTTTGATTGGTTAAAACTAACATCATTGGACCAGACATTTGGTAGAAAACTCGTTAGATTACGATGTAGACTAAAAATATCAGAAAACAAAGAAAGATACAAAATGTCCCAGATGCCGTCAGTTGCTAGTAGACATTAAAAAACAAATTATTCTCCGGTTTTGCCAGATGCAAGTTTGACTTGAGCTACATTCAATGAATAAGCCCAGACTACTTTTGTTAGCTGCTTGCAGGCGTATACGCATACTTAATCCATACATAATCCAGCCAATGACTGTCGGGAAATACCTTTTCTAGTAATATGCAGACACCATTATTGCTTTTTTAAAGGGGAACAGTCAGCAATTTTGGGGATGGATTTGAGTCTTTATTGTGCTTTAATAGACTTAAGAAGTACGAAAACACCTAAAAAATTTCTTCAAATATACCTCAAACTAGAAATTTCACTGTCTATTTCTATATATGTGTTTTCTATATATGGCATAGTCTCACTGAAATTTGAGTTGAATTTTTAACTTTCAAACGTGAATAATTATGATGATGAGCTGTGAACACTATTAGTGATTATGTAAGCTAAAAAAAATTCCTGGTTCTGAAACTAAGGTATGATTGGTCCTTTGACATACGTGATCGCAAAATATCGCAATTTTCCATCAGCCTGTGTTATGTGAAGACTTTTCGGCATTTACGCAATACGGACTGCGGATAAGTGGAGTTGATTTAATTAAAAATAGAAGGAGCCATTTTTTCACGCTTACGGCTACGTACTATGCTTGTGCAACTAACTGACGAAAGGAGCCTGAGCTTAATTCACATGAATAATTGTCAATGAACATCAAGGCACAGATATAATTAGCAGTCAATTTAAAGTATTAAAACTTATTATCAAAATATAAGCATTTATAAAACATGCACGATGAAATTAGGCAAGGTAAATATCATGGATCGGGAGGACATGTGGAATGACAAAAAACAGATGTACATAAAAGAAACAAAAACAAAAAACAAACCAAAAATTCCACAAGCTCTTAATATCAAGTTTAAAGATAAAATCCCAGGTAGAAAAAGTTCTAATTTCAAGGATTTTACAAAGGTTTTGCTGTAAAAACTATAAGATTTATGTGTATTGGGGACACTGATAGCAATTCCATTAAAAATAAACAGTTGATGAAGTTACTAATAGCAAAATATGGTTTATCACATCACAACCAATCACAGTTTATGATGTCATCAAACACGTAGTTTTAGTGGAATTTACAAAAACCACAGACATTTGATTAATAATTGAAATGGTGTAAATTGATGCTTATTGATGCTTCACAATCCATTTAACAAATGACACATTTAATCAAAAGTATATTTCTATTCTAAATAATGTTATTATCTATATATGTCTATATCCTTCAATTTCAGCTCAAAAATCCTTTCAAATTTGGATTTAAAATTCCCTAACTTTCAAAACGATATATCATAGAAAAACACTTATATATACAATAATATAAAACTTAATCACTAACAATTCACAGATCCACCAATCCTCATCAAATCGGCCGCCATATTTTACCCACAAACAACAAAGCTGCAAAGTGTGTGTCATAAATGAAATTTAAAGATGGGTTCCTCTCATTTTCATTTATAAAAATGCTAATACTTATATGAATAGAAAGTAGAGGTGTTCTAATGACTTGGAAAAATACCAGTTTGTCTCACATGACCATAATTAATTCATAATTAGCTAAATTAGAAGAGATTTACCAGAAGTATTCCAATGAGTGACCGATCAAGAAAGGTTTTTTTTGTTTATCCAAACCGGACATACATGTACATTTATGATTGGTTAAAACACTTAATTATATGCAATAAGAACATAATGATATGATTAAGAATACATGATTATTCATTAGAAACACCAATTAATCAAATAGCTTGCTTTATTTGACACTAAAAAAATAAGGAAACCCATCTTTAATTTTTAACGACTATGTGTATCTGACAAAATGGTATTGAGGTGAGCATGGGGTACTTGCAATGCAGATAAAAGAAGAAAGATTTAGGTAGGTCGTTTTGTGTTGTTGTTTGTGGTGAATAACAACTGATCTGTGGGACGAGATCTAAACTGTTCTCGCAGATTTGTGAATTTAAGAGCACTATCCCAATAAAAGTCAAGCATAAAAAATATGTTAAAAATTGATCACAATAAACGAATAAAAAAAGTTGGCAAAAGACACCTTATTGTGACCCTTAAAAGTCACAAAGTAGCTGTACCAAAATTCAAAAAAAGGTTTACAGATGCTCTAAGTTCACCTTTAATTCATGGACTAATAAATTTGGTGTTACCGTTAACATTTCTTAACGTTATAAGAAATGGTATTATGACGTTTTCCAAAAAGTTGTTTCATTGAAGCTGTTTCACAAAACATATTTCATTGTAAAGTTGTTTGATGATAGTTGTTAATTGACACAGTTTGACAATAGTTGTTCATTGACATAGTCTGTTGACAGTTGTTCATTGACACAGTTTGATGATAGTTGTTCATTGACACAGTTTGACGATAGTTGTTCACTGACATAATTTGACGATAGTTGTTTATTGACACAGTTTGACAATAGTTGTTCATTGACATAGTCTGTTGACAGTTGTTCATTGACACAGTTTGATGATAGTTGTTCATTGACACAGTTTGACGATAGTTGTTCACTGACATAATTTGACGATAGTTGTTTATTGACACAGTTTGACGATAGTTGTTCATTGATAGTTTGAAGATAGTTGTTCATTGACATAGTTTGACTATAGTTGTTCATTGACACTGTTTGACAATAGTTGTTTATTGACACAGTTGTGTGCTTTTCGTGTAACAGAAGCGTTTTACAAAAAATGTTGAAATTCTAGGTGCACTGACAGCATATAAATTCGGGGGAAAAACTGTAGCCAACTTATTGAGGGTAAGGGGGTGGGGGACTATTGGGGTAACCTGGCCCTAAAATAACAAAAAATAACCAATTTAATTTTAACAGTATGGTGGTGGTGGTTGTAAAAAGTTTTCTTCTGACGTTCTGTCCCAAAAGCAGCATTTTCAACTAATCAACTGTGCAATAACATTAAAATGCACTAGTTGTAGCATATCGATGCTCCACCTACTTTCCTCTTAGATTCTATTTGGCAATCATGTTAAGTTATCCGTGTATGGTACTACAACAAATTGCTGATAACAGATCATGATTTCTCGAACACACATTTTAAGCAATGTATGTTACAAATTGATATTACAGGACAGCAATATATAAATTATATTCACATTTTCATTTTCAAAACAAAGCAAAAAAAACTCCTTACCTTTGTTATCATAGCCTTGTGGAGGAGGATAGGGGTTTGAGTTGAAGGCTGCGGATGGGTCTCCTGGTGGATAAGGGTTGTTTCCCGATTGTTGGTAAGCATCTGCATTGGGGTAAGGGATTCCTCCAGGAGGATAGGGTGATGCATTAGGATAGGGCTGATTTCCATTGTAAGGGCTTGGTGGTGGATAAGCACCCTGATTACCTTGGGGGAAAGAATCTGCACCATAAGGGGGATAAGGTTGTCCTCCATTACTGAAGTCTGCTTGTGGCATAGGTGGTTTTTCTGAAAGACATAAAAAAAGATCATCAATGATGAACAAGTGCATGCATATTGGTTAGGGTACAAAATTTCCTTTTGTTATTACTTTTTGTCGGTCTCCATTGTAATCTAAAAGGACTTATATTACGGTTGCATACTGTTCATACCGCTCATTTCGACCAATCACAGCGTGTCATGCAGAATGTTTGTTCTATCAACTATGATGCCACCAGCCAATAATTTCTCTGCCCCCTCCAACGCATGGATTTTGTGACACGAACAAAAGGTGCATTCAATGTCTAATGCTTCTCAGAATATACCTTTTATTTGCGTCACAAAATTCCAGTGTTTGAAAGGGCAGGAATTTGATTAGCTGAATAATATTCAAGAATGCTGTTGTTAGACCCTAACTGAATTAGCTGGATTCCAAATAAAAACAGAATGAAAGTTTGGTTTAATTCTTTTTAGACTGATGCAAGTGCATCAAGTGAACTGGTTAAAAATAACTATACCACACCACTTGTCAACCTACCAGGTTTAGGGGTGTACTGGTTTGAAGTGTTGGAGTAGTTGTAATCATTGGTAGGTGGGTATGATCCAGGATGGTTCTGTGGCTGAGGCTGTGTGGGTACTGGTACCATGTTGACAGGGACTGTAACACATAACAAATGTGTAAATGAAATGAAATGAATGGAGTTTTACGTCCTACTTTTCTGCACTATGTGGGCTCATGAAAACAAATTACAACATGCAGAGTACAATGAAGGAAATTTTGCCAGGACAACAGCATTAGCCTGCTCTTTTTGATTTCCAACAGTCGAGGGATCTTTAACGTGAACAGCCTGTAGCACACAGGGCCCAAGTTTATTGCCCATCTGAGCCACTAGACGCTTTTTCCATGTCAGCCCCTCTTACCTGCATCACTGACAGGGAGAAACCAGGTTGAAAAATCTGAGGTATTATCTAGACCTATGCCAAGATTGAACCCTGGACATTTAGGTTAGCGAGCATACGTCTAACTCACTGAGCCAGCTCGGCTCCAACAATGAATGAATGATCTCATGATCACTGTACCATTCTAATTTTCAATCAGACGTCTGTGGCTCCTGTAATTCCACTAAAACTAATCTTAAAGAATTTTACATGATAAAGCATATTTTGCAATTAGTGACATCATCAAACGCTTAGTTTTAATGGAATTGCAAAAACCACAGACATCTGATTGAAATAAGAATGGTGCAAATCAGTGTCCCAGATACACATAAAAAAAAATTACAATCCCTTTAACTGTTAAAAGCCAAACAAATATAGTCTTAAATGCATAGAGCCACAGTTTAACTTGAATGCTTTATCCATGTCATTCTTTCTCTCCTGCATTATAGAGGTAACCCTGTTGAAAAATCTCAAGGTTCGTATGCCAGGGCCAATAGTGATATACAATCTTAAAACCACTTATTATTAGTATATAAGAACAATAGCAGCAATGGTTATATGTTAATGTGTTAGTGGTTTAGTGCAGCAGGAGATCAGGGCTCTATTTAAGCCTAAGATTCCCAACCTGTTTTCACCCCCTGGTAGTGTCAGGGGGTTTGGACAACTGTTGTAGGAGAAGTTATTTTTTTGGGGGATATTATATGTCCCAGTACTTCTGGTGCATGTTTTTGCCACAACCTAGTCCTAGTTCACAGATAGGTGCACCAGTAGAACGGTTAGCTCCAGAGTCTTTTGAGGATTTTCCTGAAAAAATTGAAGATTCCTCTCAGCAAATTGACTTGGGTCTCAATGTTATATGACAGCATGTGCGTTGTATGCAATGGATTAGAGTGTGTAGCATTATTATATAATATCCATTATTATGTGTGATTATTATGATTAGTTTGAATTAAAATGATAAAATCTTCAAGGTTTTGAATGTCCATTGTTTTGGGGATGTAAGGGGTTCAAATGATTACTCCAGGGGTGTGAAGGCTGAAAAAGGTTGGGAACCACTGCTTTAAGCGTTATTGCATTGCAGTTTGCGATTCAAAATGACCTTTTTTGCGATCCAATATTTTCTATGAATAGCCGAAATTACATTTTTTTTTCTGTGATATACTTTACACCAAAGCTACATTCATTTACATCTCAAAATATGATAAAAAAAAAATAACTATAATGACAGATTGCTGTTATTACATTAATTTCAAATATATATAAAAAGTTTGTTAGTTTAAATGGACAGATGCGCCATTTTTTTACCAATCATACTTTAGTCTCAGAAACGGGAATTTTTTTTAGCTAAGCTAATGAGTACTTATGTTCACAGCTCACTGTGGAAATTTCTGCCTTCAAATCCATGTGTGTCCAGAATTATCCGTGTTTGAAAGTTAAAAAGACGAGTCATACTTCTGAAGACTATTTACATATATTTAAGACTCAAATCAACCCCTGAAAATGGCGCAACTGTCCCTTTAATATCAAATATATTTTTAAAAATCATTAGTTTGCAATTAAGACTGTGTAAAATTTTGCCAAATTCAATGGAAACAGTACCTGGATCTTTCTGTACAGCTGTGTATTTTTTGCAATCTAAATCAAAATACCAATAAAGGTGTAAAAATAGAATGGTCTATTATTCAAATAACCTTTTGACCTAACCTGATGATCTCTGCTTTAACCAATCAAATTCCTTCACTCTCACAAAATCCCAGTGCAGGAGAAAGCAGAAATTTGATTGGTTAAAGTAGGGGTCATTAGGTCAGGTCAAAAGTGATTTTGACTAATGTTCAAGAGGGTCATCTTTAGACCCTAACTGAAATGGGTATATTGAAAATAAAATCTAATATCAAAACAGAACAAAAGTCAGTGAAAAATTGAAACTTACCATCATTTTTCTTGGATGAATACTTTTTCATAACTTGTCCTCCAGTGCCAGTCCTTTTACAAACACAGTAGACAATTATAGCAATAATAATAATCAATATTATCACTCCTACAACTATACCAGCTGTTCTTCCTTGACTACAAATGAAAGAATAATTTTAAGGGATTGTAAAGAAGTTTTCTACATTTTTTTGTGTATCCAGGACACTGATAGCATCAATTTGCACCATTCCAATTTTCAATCAGACGTCTGTGGTTTCTGCAATTCCACTAAAACTGTGTATTTGATGACATAACTAATTGCAAAATATGCTTTATCTCATTAGGCCCTTCGCAAATAATAATGTCATCAAACACTAAGTTTTAGTGGAATTACAGGTTAAGCTGTTTTCATTGATTTGTGAATTGATCGTCCAATCAAACTTACTCATCTTCATCAAAATATTCACAACATCTTTCTCTATGGTTATCTCCGCAGCAATATTCAAAGTTCTCAGGTTCGCCCATTCTCGGACAAATAAAATAGCCATATACTGTTCCATTACTGTCGGAATCATATTTGTTGGTACAGATGGTAGGCACTGAAAAAAATTAAGTGAATAAATCAAGGTCACGCTGGAATGTTAGAAAACATTTAAAGATGGGTTTCCTTATATTTTAGTGTCAAATTAAGTAAACTATTTGATTAATTGGTGTTTCTAATGAATTATCATGTATTCTTAATCATATCATTATTGCAAATGATGAAGAGTTTTAACCCATCAGATATGTCCATGTATGTACAGTCTGGACAAACAAAAAAAAACTTTTTGATCTTTCCTGTCACTCATTGGAATTCTGCTGGTAATTCTCTTCTAGTTTAGCTAAAACAAACTGTTATTTTTCCAAGTCATTAGAACACCTCTACTTTCTATTCATATAAGTATTAGCATTTTCATTTATGAAAATAAGGGAATTCATCCTTAAAAGGGCATTCTGTTCTGGGGTTTTTTTTTGTAGGTTGAAAATTTTTATTTAATACAGACTTAAAAGGAATGTTGACCTGATATGCCTATGGTGCTTTGTCATATGACTTTTGTCTCACATGACCACATTCTTACAGAATTCAAATAAGATTGATTTTCAAACAAATATTTCTTGAAACAACAAATAAAAACAATGTTTTTTTAAACAACCATTGCTAACATTGTAAAAATGATGACTTGATAATTGAGATAAAAAACACAACAAAGGATTCCAAAGTTCCATATTACCCTTACAATATGTTGTAAAAAATGACCCAAGCAACTTGATCTTGAAGCGAGGTCATTGGCAGTGATTTATCAGCAGAATTGGTATCAGCTATCTATTGTTTTTGCGTGATTTCTAGTTAGATTCTCAAAAACTATTATTCAAGTGATTATCTCATGACAATAAGTGATTAAGTTTACTAGATGTTGGATTATACAGATTATACAGTGTCAGGACCACTGATTAGTGTTGTAATTCGTAATACACAGATGTCCGATATCACAGAGTACACTGTTCATGTCAGTCACACATACAAATAAGAACTTGATACTTACTGCGATCAGGATAGCGTATATATCGTGGAGTTCTCATGTACCTAACTGATCCATATAAATACCCCAACATCAAGGCACGACTAAATGTTGATCTGGTATAAGGACTGGATCCAGCTCGAATTCTAACTCTGGTTCCTCCATAACGAACTCTATTCCGTGAACTTCCGTACCGAACTCTTGTTCGTGTACTACCATAACGAACTCTAGTACGTGAACTACCGTATCGAACTCTAGTTCGTGACCCACCATAACGTGATGCACCATATCTTCCACCACTGCGTTTAGCTTCACTTATAGCAAACTCTGAAGAAAAAATTGTGGGTTACTAAAAATCCATACAATTAACAAGCAAGACAGTTCCTTTCATCAAAATCTCGTCCAGTACAGCAAAATTGAGAGTAAAAGTTGAATAGTAGTGGACTACTCCAAAGTCCAAAAGAAGTACCATCAGACGTTTCAAAAAGGGTAAGTATTGCAAAATTGAGAGTAAAAGTTGTATAGTAGTGGACTCCTCCAAAGTCCAAAGACAAGTACCATCAGGTGTTTCGAAAAGATTGAGTCTGCCTCACGCCCGACAACTGCCACCAGGTCTACATCATGAGAAACAATCAGATCAATTCATTCATAATGCTTTGCTAAAAATTTTGAGCTAAAATACAATGCAGATGCTCCATTTTTTTGAACAATCATACTTTAGTCTCAGAAACAGAATTTTTTTTTAGCTACTAAGCCAATCAGTAATAGTCTTTACAGCACACTGTCGAAAAATCCATGTGTGTCCAGAATTAGAAATAGTGAGTAAAATTCCTAGTTTGAAGTATTTTTAAAGGAATTATGTGATTTTTATAATTTTCTAGTATTTCTGAAGACCATTTACATATATTCAAGATTAATATCAACCCCCCAAAATGGCATACCTGTCCCTTTAACATGGAGGGTTCAAGCTACTTTTCTGTAGTTCTGAGGCTGCCACTTTACACTTAATCTCCCTTCAGAAAATAATAGACATTTAACTTATACTTTAAGGTCCAACTGAGATAATTATAGTAAAACTCTTTAACCAAATACTAATTAGGGCAATAACAATTAATGTAGCCGTTATGCAGTACAAATACAACATCTTTTGTTTACTATTGTCAATTACAATTAAAGGGATTGTAAAAAGGTTTTCTAAAAATATTAATGTGTATCAGGGACACTGATAATATCAATTATCACCATTCAAATTTTCAATCAGATGTCTGTGGTTCCTGCAGTTCTACAGAAAAGAAGTGCTTTTGGATGTAACTTATTCCAAAATATGCTTTATCACATAAGACCCTTTGCAATTATTAGTGACATCATCAACCACTTAGTTTTAGTGGAATTGCAGGAACCACAGACATCTGATTGAAAATTGGAATGGTCCAAGATGATGCCATCAGTGTTCCCAATACGCAAAAGAAAATTTAAAACCTTTTCACAATCCCTTTAATGTACCATAGCAGTGGTGCAGTACATATACAGAATCTTTTGTTTAATATTGATTTCTTACTGAATCTCATCTCTGCTTACTACTATAGTATTGATGAAGTAGAGTTATCAAGGTCTATGACAAATATTATGAATTTCATCATTTCTCTAATAGCTCATAGGGCCACGGTGGCTCAGCTATTCTGAAGGTCCAGGGTTCAATTCTGGCATAGGTTGAGATAATACCCTCTGATTTTTCAGTTTCCCCCTGTCAGTGATGTGGGTAAGAGTGGCTAACATGGAAAAAGTGTCTAGTTGTTCGGATGGGATAATAAACCGAGGCCCTGCATGCTACAGTTGGAAATTGAAAAAGAGCAGGCTAATGCCGCTGTCCTGGATGTAAAACTACATTCATCTAATTTCTAATAGCCTATAGACTTAAATTTCGACGGTGATCTGTGAACTCTATAACTGAAAAGCATAGCTTAAAAATTCTTGTTTCTAAGACTAAAGTACGATTGGTCAAGCATTTGGCAAACGTGTCCCTTTAAGTCTGAAAATCCAAGTTTTTGTAATACCTTGTATGAATCCCAGACTTTGGGTTCTCATTCTGAAAAGGGATACTTATAGATAATTATATCAGCTTTCGGCTTATTACCTTTCAATTTCATTTGTAACCAAGCAATGCATTTGAATTCAGCATACAGTACTAAATATAGTATACCGTACATATAGTGAACATAGTTCACAGCCATTTTGAATCTCTTCCTCGACTTAGGGTGTGGCCACACGTGCGGTCTTGGTTGGAGTCTTGTCTTGAGTTTCCACCACTGGCATGGGCACAAGAGGAGACAAAAATCTCCAGTTGGTCATTTTCCACCTTGTCAACAATCACATGCGGAGCATGCAATTGAAAGGAAAAGGAATCTGATTGGATGATGACGTCTGTCTTACAGACGATAAAACTATCGAAGACATTCATTTAACTTGTTTAAATTTTACTCAAAGACAAAAATTTCTCCTGTGCCAGGACCTCTAGAAACTTTAATTTTTAAAAAAGCTATAATATTTCAACAAAGCCTTCAAATCACTTTAGAATTGGCTTTAAATGTAATTTGAAGGCTTTGTTTAAATATTAGGCTTTTAAAAATTTGACTTAAGTCAAAATGGCTGTGAACTACATGTCTGTTTTCCATGTAAGAACCATACATGTAGTTTCATTTATTGAATTCAGCTAAAGAATAACTAGCTAAGAAAATGTCATAATCATATATTCTTGTTACCAATGGCAACCAGCCAGATCAAATGATTTGCTCTATAAGCCAACAGTATAAATTAGATTAACAGAAAACTAATAGTATTTGTTTAGACTGATATATCAATTTATTTGGTTTCAACAAACTTAAAGCACTGAATATTATTACATATTAGATATTTAGTTCTGGTAACTGATATGTAGAGGTTATCCTATGGCTACAAGTAGATCAGTCTAATTAAAATTAGACCTAACTTCCTTTTGTATTTTATTAGCTTTGTCTTGAATGTTTTATCACCTATTAGCTTTGTACTACAGTAAGATCTAACACTGTCCTTCTTGAATTTTCATTCTGTTAAGCTTTGCTTGACGTCTCTGTTTTAACCAATCACATGTGATGCGAACAATAGGTGAATTCCAAGATATTTTGTTTTAATTTCAGTTTGAGCGGACTGCATAAGCTAATATGCTGGAAAGGGCAGTCAGAAAACAGAAACAGGAGTTTTTAGCTAAGCTAATCAGAAATAGTGTTCACAGCTCACCGTTGAAATATGAGCCTTCAGATCCATTTGTGTCGAGAATTATCTGCGATTGAAGGTTAAAATGACGACTCGTCAATTTAAGATACGCTGTGATATATTGAAAAGACATATTATAGAAATAGTGAGTAAAATTCCCAGGTTGAAGTATTTTTAAAAGGAACTATTTAATTTTCTAGTACTTCTGAGGACTATAAACATATATTCAAGACTTAAATCAACCTTCCAAAATGGCACACCTGTCCCTTTAAACATCTCGGAGAATTAATTTTGAATACTGAATTTAATGATACAAAAATATATCACATAATTTCATGTCATTAGTATGTTGCAATATGTTTGTTTATCCTACAATCTTTTCTATTTCACAATATGTTTAGCTTATTAGACAAGAGAAAGAAATAAAACAACTATATTTTACAACAACAACTTAGTTAAAGATGGGTTTCCTTATCTTTAAGGGTCAAATTAAGCAAACTATTTGATTATTTGGTGTATCTAATGAATTATCATGTATTCTCAATCATATTATGTTCTTTTATTAAAAGTTTTAACCAATCATAAATATTTATGTATGTACAGTCTGGATATACATAAAAAGACTTTTTGACCTTTTTGGACCAGTCACTCATTGGAATTCTGTTGGTAATTCTCTTCTAATGGAGCTAATTATGAATTACTTATGGACATGAGAGACAAACTGCTATTTTTCCACATCATTAAAACGCCTCTACTTACGTAAAAAATTCCTGTTTCCGAGACTTAAGTATGATTTGTCAAAAAGAATCGCGCAATTGCCCCTTTAAAGGGACATTCCAGGTTTTTTTTTGTAGGTCGAAAACTTTTTTTGCTCAAATTTGTGAAAACTGTAAACCAAAGTCTATGGAAATGTATCCCATAATGTACGGGTACAGTCAAGTAACCTTATTTCGTGCTAACCTATTTTTCGTGCGTTTTTGGAAATGATTAATAATTTACATGTGCGACCTCGTGTGACCTCCGCATTTGCTTGTTTCGATAAACATGGGCTTTCTGTACAATATTAGCTAGTAGAATGAATTCGGTAGTTTCAAGCAAGGTAAAATGTATTAATGTATACTTTGACAAATACAAAATGGCAGATTTCCGTTACTATTAAACGTCACCATTTTTTATCGGTCGAATTTCCTTATAATGTAGTCCATCGAATGAAGTCACGTGATCAACTAGCGGATACTGTGTCAGCAGAAAATTTCTAAGGAACACAAAGTGGGTCATATTCTTATGTTGTTTCAATGACTTTTAGCAATAAATCACGCTAAGTATCTTATTTTGTCAGTCACAACATTTTTTTAAAATCATGGTTCTTTGAAGGAATTGATATTATAGATAAATACTAAGAGAAGTTAATTATACCACCCGGTATCCATACAACATGTTTTTCTAGACATTTATAGATCAAACATTTTACACGAAAATAGGTGACGCATTCTGCCGCCGTTGCTGAGTTGGTTGCTCATGAAATATGGGTCAAAGTGAAGGATTCATAAAGAAAATGGAAACAAACCAATTTCAATTATTTCGTAGAATATCTGAGGAAACATCTAAGACATATAAAGTTTTTTTTTTGTTTATTAACTTTGACGAAATTCGGTGTTGTATCTTTAAGTTTTAACTAATAAAAATCCAGCTGTTAATTTTCATGTAACAACAGTAGTAGTAGTAGTTTTTTAATAGCTTGCAAAAAGCATAACGAATTTAAAAAAAATTCGTTATGCTTTTTGCAAGCTATTAGAAAACTACTATGCAGATTAAACGCCTAATTCTCGAGAAATATGTCTCCTACGTTTTCTAAAGGTTACAACTAAATGTAACGAGCCATTATGAAGCCAATCACTGAAACTAGGTCAAACTGCTTACTTAACAATTAGTAAGCCTACTCCCATTTCAGTTTGATCAAGTTGATACATAGATTTATATTTAAATAACATATTTTCAGGTATAACTAACAATGTTTTTGATAATGACAATCTTTTTAAAAAAAGCTGAATGCCCCTTTAATAAGCTGACATTCTTTGACTGTTGTCCTTGAGTTTGCAGATCAATAGTAGTAAAATCAATTTATTATTTATGGGCCAAACCTAAAAATGACTGATTACAAGAATTTCTGTCTAGTGTAACAACGATTTCTCCACTACCATTTCAAATTATTATCGATGTAAAAGATGTATTCTTTGAAACAAAATATTTATGAACAGAAACAGAAAATAATTCAAACGTTGTACAAACCGAGAGCTGCAATAACAAAAAATATACACACACTAAACAAGATGATTGTTTTGATATTCGCCATTTTGAACTCTCGATTAACCATTAATAGGAAATGTTAAGCAATAAAACGGTCTTGTGAAACACGACTACGAGGTAATCAAACTTAAAGGGACGTGTTCTTAAATAATCGTGAAGGAATTTCTATTAGAATATAAAAAAGTTAATGCAATCAATCAATAATCCAGAATGAGGTAATAGAAAAGAAAGAAGGTTGCAAACCATGACTGGCCCCTATGCAAATAAAAAGTTTTGAATAAAAAAATTTACAATCCCTTGAAAGTACTTTACCTGTCTATAATCCACGGCTGGTCCGTAAAAAGATTATGGTGAATCCAAATCCATTCCGATGTTTTCTATCAAGCCACACAAGAATTGATGACGTAGTGAGTAAGCGTCAAACGTTTTGTCGAAGAAATTAAGGTAATTTTGACAGTAAAATGCCTTTTAAACGAAAGAGAATTGAAATAACTTGACATAATAAAGTTATTCATATTCTACTCGTCGTTTCAATCTAGAAAATGGCTTGAAAGAGACATTATTCATAGTGTAATGTAGTGTAGTGTAGTGACACTCAGTAATGATAGTAACTTGTAAATCCTCTACTAGCCTAGATCCCCACTCCCAGCAATACCCATAGCCTGAGCCCTGAGCAGACGATGGTGCGCAGGGCAGATGCGAGACATCCCTAAATTTTGTCTTTTGACAATCAAAGTGCTTCCAATAACTATGATAAGCCTTTCAAAAACAGCGTACATATTTAGCTGTAAACTGTTTCATTTTTGCTATTAGTACAGCGGTGTAACCTATTTTCTTGGATATAAGGATTCAACACAGAATTTCGTGAAATATTCTACAAAATAATTAAAATTAGTATTTATTTTTAATATCAATTCATTATAACTTGTGATAATTCCTTCAAAGAACCACGATTTAAAAAAAAAAAGTGACTGATTCATTCTATTAGCTGATATTGATGAGAAAACCCATGTTTATCAAAACAAACTAATGCGCAAGGTCGCTCATGTAAATTATTAATCCTTTCCGGAAATCCACGAATAATAGGTTTCCACGAAATTAGGTTACTTGACTGTAATATGAATGAGAGCGCAGGTTATTGATAAAATAACAATAATTAATAATAATTAAATAAATAAATAAAAGAAATTCAACCTGATTAGTATGTAATGCAAACTACTTTGTCTTCTAATAATATGTTTGAAGGTAATCTTCTATGAATATAAGGTCTGTTGACAATCTTGAGAGTCGTATAATTGGAATTCTTAGGGTCTTCTTTAGGGCACAGGCCATTGAAGTTCTGTCAATAATAGTGAAATATGGTCAATGAACTTCAAGGGCCTATGTTTAAGGTTAGTTTTAGGTTTTGTTTTTGGGTCTCAATGTGCTTCAGGGTGTGCTCGATAGGCATGATTTCTGCGTTTTTTCAATTTTCTATTAACTGCGCATATGGATAAAAGGAAGTGCGGGTATAAGGAAGTGTGGGTATAAGGAAGTGTGGGTAAAAGGAAGTGTGGGTATAAGGAAGTGTGGGTAAAATAACGAGAACAAAATTCCTCCTGATCACTGCTAGATATCCATTGGATAGGCGAAAAAAAGTACGCCTATATTGGACTGAAAATTCAACTTTTTTGTA